AGGGGAGGGCACTGCCTAAAGCTCGCTACAGGAGGCTCCGAGCACACCATTATACAGCCAAACCTGGGCTCCCGCTTGAATGAGAGCTAGGCTTTACACGCTTCTATCAGCACCAAAGGGCTACCTTCCATATGGGAAGATGGAGATGTTTGAAAATCCTGGGAAAATCTCTTCAGGCTAGGAACTGATCAGCTTCCTAAATGCCATGCAAGTCTGTTAAGGCAAAGGGAAGGGAACTACCACCATCTCTTCTCACAATCTTGCTTCTGAGTGAAAGCTACCAAAGCCAGTAACAGATTTACACTACAATTTTTTTCCACAGTATGTTCAGACGGTGTTCCACTTGCAAAGACCATAATTTATTGTGTATGTCACCATGTTCAAGGGGGAAAAAAAAATAATAATTAAAAATCCATCTTTAAATATTTGCCAAGCTTCTACCAGAGTGGCAGGCGCTTCTGACAAAATTTTATCCTACTTTACTAGTTCTGGAAAACATGCAACAGCTAGAAATACTGTTTCCAAATTGAAAGACAGAATTTTGGAAGAAGCCCAATTTTCTTCCACTCTACTGATCCGAGAATGACATGATGACTCGATGAAGTCAACTGCCAAATACTTCTGAGGCAGACTTCAGGAGCGCCAGATGGCATTATTCAGAAGTTCTTGTAGGCCTGGTCCTATCAGCTGGCTCAATGGCATCAAAAATTTGTTATTTTCCATATGAAATCCTACTTCTGACCAAAGTAACATTTCCACTACAAAAGGTTACATGCTTAGAGGTGACAAAAGGCAGACTGGGTTTTGCCTAATAAGTCTCCAGCTTTCAAATGAAATTAATATGTAGTTAGGTGGCAGAATAAGTTAAAATCAATACTGTATCTATATTAAAATCCTAAACAAATACACAATTGAAAATTAGATCTTGCAGATCATATGCATCCCAACCTTGTCTTTCCAGTTCCAACTCTGAAAAATTCAAGTTCTCAGATCATTCAAGTTAATGCCAACAGAGCTTCTAGTTTTATATAAGAACACTTCGTTCCACCTACTTTTTTTGTCTCACTTGTAAGCATAATTTGAAGGAAAAACATCCAGTTCACTACAAAAGATTCTCCAAAGGCTACCAGAAATACTGTCTGGAGACAACCTGAATGTCAGAGTCTAACTCCAGAATTTAAGCACCGGAGGAATTTGCATTAAAAGCAGCACAGATCTGTTTT